CATTATTCATCAAAACGTTTTTTTCTAATTAATGTTGTAGTTTTATTGCATTTTTTTTTTATTTTACAATACAGAGCAGATTTTCAGTAACTGGGGTCTCTGTTTTACAAAAATAAGTTGATTTAAATTCTCAACAGACTTCTGTTTATATAACTAATATAATCATTAAGCTGTACAAACATGAATTTCTTAAAATTTCATTAAAATTAAATAGTGATCTGGTAACAGATGTTATAAAAAAAAAAAAAAAGTTTTAACATGATTTTCTAAAAAATAGTAATATTGTAAAATAATTTAATTCATTTGTGAACAAGTCCTGCAAGTTTCATTAAAATCCAACAAATGATTTTTGCAAGAATTTCCAAATCAATGTATTTTTTCACTGCAAAAAGACGTTAAAATTTCCTATTCTAATTTATGGTCACCAACGGACACAAGAAAAAAAAGAATTTTTAAACAAAATTTTAAAAGTTCTAAAAAGGATTAAAAAATATAATAATCAAAAAATCCTTTGGTACATCCTCTTAATAATATAAAGATTTTGATTGTAAAACTTTGTTTTTATTAAGTTTGGGGCATTTTTTTCATCATGTATGCTCATTTTATAGTGAATCTTTAGAGGTACCTATAATATATTTTGTAATAAATTTCAGAAATTTGAAAAAAATAATAAAAATTGGATAGACACAAGTTGTCAATATTATTCAACAAAACAGGTTTGAAAGATTTCTTACTGCCAAATTAAACCTTATTTAAAAATGTATGAATTGGGATTAAATATGGATCAGAATCTGACAATAATAAAATAAAGAACAAATAGAAAAATGTTTATCAATCTAACATGTTTCATTTTTATTAAAGCTTCATCAGAGAATGAGATATGGATGTTTTTTCCCCCATCTCATTCTCCGATAAAGCTTTAATAAAAATGAAACCTGTTAGATTGATAACCATTTTGTATTTGTTCCTATCATACATATAGTTATATCTGTGTGTGTGTGTGTGTATTATGGATTCTCCCATCATTTTTGACATATGAAAGTCCAACAATTCAGCTCCTAGAATTAAATTCAGAGTTGCGCTTCTTTTAGATTTATTGCCAACCAGATTTAGAGTGCCCAGTCTGCTCTACTATTTCACCCATAGCTGGGGGAAGAAAGATGGATTCATACTTTTCCTCAAGGGTATTTACATATAAATGAAGGTAATAAACTAAACTGGAATTTGAATTCGGCTCTCTGGAAGAGAAACTCGTTTAACACACTAGTCTCCTGAATATTCCAGAATGTAATCTATATTAATAAAGAAAAGTTGATTTTCTGTCCATCACACACTGCATGTGACTTTGTATATGCATACATAATTATATGTGCACGTCTGTGTTGTGTGTGAGTGACTTGCATGTACTTGTACAATTTAATGCATGCACATGTACACACAATTTGATATAGTTTTAAATAAGATCTTGAAATAATTCATTTCACTCTCACTATGTTTGAACAACCTCAGCCTTGTGCTGAGTAATAAAATCATAACATTAGTAACAGAAAAAAAAAATTCTTTAGACCTTAAAAAGTCAGAAAATTATGACTTTCTGGAAAATAATTGGTAATATTGGGTTGGTGCATAATTATCAGGCATTTTTAAACAATATTTATTATGATAAAAGAAACACAACAATTCAACAATAACATTTTTAAATGAATATGATTATCGACACGCATTTTTATAACCTGAAAATAAATATTTTTATTAAAAAAAAAGTAAACAAAACAGCAATGTTTATTAACAAATAACTCGCCTACAAAAATGCCTGATAATTATGCACCAAGCCAATAAATAGAATTTTTTTTAAGTCTTACATATGTCATTCATTTTAGTTGTTGCTGCTTTTAATAGTCCTCAAATGATGTGGTTTCTATTATTTGGTACAGTTCTTTGTTTATGATTCTGTAGCGCCACTACACAATGTTCAAAGAAGGAGGATCTTTGCTAAAATTCTCAGGCTACATTCACTCAAAGCCTTTTTTAACCACTGATCTTAGAAAGTAGTTGTATACAGCTGATAGTTTAGATATTTCTGAACAGGTTTGATGCATCTATATAAAAGTCTCAATCTGACGAGGCTATTTAAGAATTTGACTAAAGTATTCTAGTTGATGTTTTAGTTTTGTAGCAATTTGTGGTGTTGGGCGAAACTATCTCTGGTATAGCCTATTCTATTTTCAATTTCCCTCTCTTGTATACTAAATTTGTTATAAGTGATCCATGCACCAAGGTATCTGAACTGTTTAGCATTTACTAATTCCACATCCTGAATTTTTATGATGTCTTCAGGGTATATGCCATCACTGCTTTTATCCCAATTCCAGATCATAGTTCCTGGATTGGAAAGGTTTATCTTGAGTCCTACTCCTTGGAACACTTGGATATTGATTTTCTGTTTGTAAGTATGGATGAATGATCAGTTGAATATTATTGCTGGTTTTCTAAATATTCCCTGACAAATTATAGATATATATAAAGGGAACAATTTTCCGTTTTAGGGAATTTCATTTTCAGTATAAAATGCTGTTTTTGCTTCATTATAATACTTAGTGAGAAAGTGTTACAATATATAAATGTTATTAAAACAAGAAAATGAAATTATTACAATTTTTTTTAAAAAAGTCTAATTTGTAAAAATTAGCTTTCTGAAATTTCAACCTCCACCTCCATCACCATGTGTGATAGGGAAAAGAAAAGAAAAAAAAGACAAAATTTTTATTTTGCTCTCAGTCCCCCTCCACCAAAATTTTTTTTTTTTTTTATTAAATCAAGTGAGCTTCATAAAACTTAGTTCTTAAATACTGTAAACTCTAAGCAGGAAACGGTAGGTAAGGGGGAGACGGTAGTTAAGGGGAATGTATTAAAACATTACTGTTTTTATCCTTTGATGTCTGTAAGATGAGTGAGTTAGGAAAGGCAAACATAGTAACAAATAAAAATGGCAGTTGGAAAATCTAATTCTTAGAAAAAAGAATTTCCATTTCAAAATTGTGATTTCCGTTTCAAGTAGGCCATTCTGTTTTTCTATCATTTTTTCCATTTTCATGGAAAATAAGCCCCTCTATACTTATTATGCATCTTGAAATAGAATTATATATGACTGTGTGTCTGTTCCCTTTATAATAAAGTCAACAATTGCCACCATTCTGCCCTATCCTCTCCACAGTGGAAAAATGTTTTTCGTTCTTTTTATTTACTTTATATATAATTTTTTTGTTAAATAGTAGGCATAACATTTTATTTATTTATTTAATACTTTGCTATTGTCAAACATTTTTTTAATAGGGAAAAACTTTGGTCTTCGTAAAGTTAATGTTTTTATATCAATGGTGGTGTTTGGAATGCATTTTAATTAAAGAAACATGGAGATACAAATATATTGGGCAACATCTGGAAAAGATATAGTGAGTTTTCTGTGTAACATGTGTAAATGACAGATTTCACTTATACTGTTCAGAGGGATTGACTTTGCAATTTTTGTCCAATCATTGATTAGATAGAAACATTGTTAGAAAGAGGATAAGGGGAAAGGAGAGAATTGGTTACTTCTAACATTCAACGTGTCATCTACTAAAATTCCGTCCAGTTGTTTTTAATTTCATATCAGCTTAAGAAATCAACTGTTATTCTTCTTTTTTTGAAACAGCCATGAGTTCAACCATTGTAAGTAAAATCGTGCTTATGCTTTTTTTTAGTAAGATTCTCTTTTTCAAGATGAACGGTAGTCTGTTGCTTGATTATCTTAACTACAGGATTAGGCTTATAGTTATTGTTTAAATCCTCAGTCCTTTGTATTTTTATTATTTTTTGACATCTATTTAGATATTCTTGATAAAATGCAAAGAAGAATTTGCAATGTTAGTGGTCCTTACTTGGCATCTCATATAAATATTTTCATGGTAATTGTTCTGATGAGCTTTTCTCTTTGGTGCCTCGACTTTACAAATTTAAATGCAGTACTAGATTGGCAGCTAGGTCGCATCATTTTACAGTTAAAATTGTTAGATGTAACTGTAAGTTCTATGCTAACACTTTCTTCTCTCACCCTTCTCGTTTGTGGAGCTCTCTTCAGAATTTTTGCTTTCCAGTCAACTTTAATCTTCAAAAATTTAAATGCAATGTCAATTGTTATCTTCCTGTTCTTTTATTGTTCTCTCTACTTAATGTTTTCTTTTTCTCATATTCTTTCACACTCAGTAACCCCTTGCATCTTAGTGGCTTTATAGCCTTGCTTGATATGACATGTCCCTTTGGAATGTAGACAATCATGGCTTTCCACAGATTCCTCTTCATTATTATCTATGAATTACTTTGGCTACTAGGAAAAGATAGTAGAATTGTTTCCTGTGGCATTTTCGAAATCAGTGATTGTTTTTCTAGACTGGCTGTCAAACAAGGCTTTTCTCAAACTCAAGACTGATCGTGCATTTAAGCCAGATTTCAACTGAATACTAATTATGATGATTATGATACAAGTTTTACTCATTAAGCTGTGAGGAGAAGAGCTGGATTCATACCTAATCAGAATTTGATAAACAAGAAATTATAATGTGGGTATAAAGTAGGGGATCAATTCTATATTACAATCAAAATATAAAATGAACCCTCACTTTTTGGCCACAACATTTACATTCCAAAGATTATATATAAATCTAAAAGACATGCCTGTGTAGCTAATTAGTATTTCATTGATTGATTCATTTTCTAAGGCTTATCAACCCATTCCAGGTTATTTAAAGCCAGAAAATATTTTTAGATTGTAAGATTTTTTAAGACTATAATGGTTTAGTGATACACGTTTTACTAATTAACCTATGGCTTGGGGAGAAAAGGTGAATTCCTACTTTTCCCAAGGGTATTTGTGCATAAGTGAATATAACGAACCCAACTGAAATTGGAACTCTGCTCTCCAATTAACAATTCCAAGCCATTATCCATTCGCACATCCAAGCTTTCAGCACCTGGTAGTCCTAAGCGGTCACCCATCTAGGTACTGACCAGGCTCAGCATTGCTTAACTTTTATGATTGTACAGGAACTGGTATTTCAGTGTGATGCAGACATAAGCCCAGCACTCATAGATTAACCTGGCAAATATGTATAGCTTTGTGAAAGGCCAGAAATTGCAAATAAATGAATTTGAACAGGGTCAGTGGGGTGCAATATTTTGTGAGAAAATTTATAAAAAAAAAAAAAAAGTATCTGTTCACTTGTCCATTCCAAATAATGAATATTGGCTAAATTAAATAAGACACAGTTTCTTATAAATAATCCCAGACAAATAACATAGTCTCCTTAAAACAGAATTATGAATATGTTGCAAGAAAATGTTTCTACTTATCTTGCCTTCATTAGTTCCTGTGAGTGTCAAATTATCCAAGCTCTCTTTCCTCATTATGCGTCCCAGAAATCTTAACTCTCTCTTTCTGCTTATAATTTCTGTTTTCTTACTCATTGCTCACATATTGTCCATATTGAAATATAGCAAATGAAATATTATATATTAGTTCATTACTTATTTCTTTGTCTTTAATAAAAAATTTTCCTATCTCTTAATACTTTGTTTAGTTTCTGAAAGGCAATTTTCACTGTTTCTATGTGTCTTGTGTAATAAGCAATTCTATATACAAATATTTTCGCTGATTTTAATGTAATATGTGACTTTTAAAGAAATTGAAAATCTGATGTGACATTAAGAGTTCCAAAAGTTAATTGCATATAGATTGCAACTTGTTGATCTTTGAGACTAATCTGAATTTTTATCAGCCTTTTTTTTTTCTTTTACTTTTTTCTTCTTTTTCTTTTCTTTTTTTTCTTTTTCTTTTTTTTCTTTTTCTTTTTTTTCTTTTTTCTTTTTTTTCTTTTTCTTTTTTTTTCTTTTTCTTTTTTTTTCTTTTTCTTTTTTTTTCTTTTTCTTTTTTTTTTTTCTTTTTTTTTTTTTTTTTTTTTTTTTCTTTTTTTTTTTTTTCTTTTTTTTTCTTTTTTTGTTGTTAGGTTTGTATGGCAGATAATTTAATAAAGAATAAAATAAAGGCAAATCAAAAAGTTTGAAAATACATTTGCTTCAGGCAAGAAATTTAGTCTGCAAGGTAACCATTGGCTGATTAAGATCAGCTGATAGCATTCAATAAAAATGGCTGACTGATGTTGGTAGAAGAATAAAAAATATTGATGAAACAAGATTTTTCTTTACTTAGTGAAATAAGTTGTTGACATTTGATGCTCTATTAAGTAAAACTAATAACAATATTTTCTTCACTACTTATTCTGCCTGTCAGACCTTAAAACTATTTTGCTAAGTCACATGTTAAATTAATTGCGCTTCTAAAGATGTACAGAATGTTCATTTTGTTTTTTCAATTTATCTAATGTATTAAACATACCAACATTTATCATTACAAAAATCCATTACCTGTAACTAATAATGTTATGTACTTTTAAGATGTAGGCAATGTTTGCCACGACTTACTGAGTTTTTTTTTTATTACTCAAAATGACTTTTTGCCATCTCTCTTTGATCTTGTTCTGTCATCCATTCAAAGAAAAAACTTCAAAATAGGTTACTGTTTCCCTCTGCTTGTCTTGGCCTTAGTATGCTCTGTGTATATTAGATTCTCCAACCCTCTTTCCCATGATTTTCAATTTTTGCTACATTTTTCATGTTACAACACTAGCCAGATAGTTAATTTTCTAGATCTGCTTGATTGTGACAGCCCACCAATACATTGCTTACACTTATATTTTCTCTTTTGATGACAACTATGAATTCTGTCTTATAATTGATAGTTAGTCATTTCTTCCTACTTTCCTTTAATACCTTTTTTACAAGTTTTCCTTCTGAGTCTGCCATTAATAGTTTCATCTGACAATAATAAATCCAGACAGGTTTCTGAGTTCTCCTAGTAGAAAATATGGCACTCGTAAAAAAAATGCAACTATTTTAACTATCAAGCAGGTCCTAATTTCCAAGTCCGCCAAGAATTAACAAAATTTTTTATTTTTGACTATGAATTAAAATTTTAATCTTTTGTCTAAAATTGAATTATGTTAGAAATAGCACCAACAGAAGTAATGGCTTTACCATTTTCCTGGTAAAATGTAAGCTCCTTGTTTTTCCTCCACTTTTAGAACAGTTCAAAAAATATCTCTTTCATTGGTATTATATGAGAAGTTATTTGTTGGCAGAATACTTGTGCCCAACCTAACTCCATAATATAGTAATATTAAATAGAATGGGTTCTTTATATGTGAACATATTTCTTCCAGCATGTAAAAGGAGTGGAATACCTTGGTCTTGTATGCATTGTTGAGATATTTCATAGTGTAATGTTAACCCAGGCGCCATAGACAATTAAGTAATTGTTACCTCGCCTCTCTAATAACATAATATTACATTTAAATGGGATGATCTTATATGCCTTTTAATTACTCTTGTGAATGAATATGCATCGTTTTTTTGAATGAAGAACTGATTCTTATTTTATTTGGAATAAAATATGAAATTGACAAATAGTATTCTTCTTTTTTTTTTCTTCTCCAGTTCTTGTATGGTACATGTTATTTTTATTCTTCAGAGGAAAAATGTTCAACTCTATTACCATTTGGCAGGGTTATGAACAACAACTTCAATAAAACAGTTAACTAAGTCTAATTGACTAAAATAGTGATGCAATCTCACCAAAATTGAATGATCAGATCAGATCTCGGGCCTCATTGAATGATCAGATCAGATCTCGGGCCTCATTGAATGATCAGATCAGATCTCGGGCCTCATTGAATGATCAGATCAGATCTCGGGCCTCATTGAATGATCAGATCAGATCTCGGGCCTCATTGAATGATCAGATTGGATCACAATAATTGAACTACAGTTTCTCCTTTATCTATTGTTAATTGTAATTAAGTTGAATATAATTCAAATGTAGTTCTAGCATGATAATAGGCATTAATAGTTATCCTATTTAAATTAAGATTTCTTGTTCTTAGGTTTTCTTTAAATTGACTCATTGTCACCATAATTATCAGCACTGTACGTGTGTTTATCAATACCATTTAGTCAACTGTTTTATTCGAGTCATCATTCTCCAGAACTGTGAGACCAGTAAATGGTAGTCAAAGCCAAAAAATTCACACATGTGCCAAAAAAGAGCTCAGTTCAAAATTCACTGTAGGTTAAGGCCAGGAGGCACAATGGTCAAAACATTTTAATAACAACAAAGATGAAGAGAATAGTTCAAATGTAAATATATGTAATAATGCTGAGTGTTTTTTAAAAAAAATTTTTTTCTTTCTAATTATTTTCCAATTTTCATTTTAGGCAATTGAACGTGCTACAAACGTGAAATATCAGTCTCATCATGTATCTCGAGACAAGAGAGGCAAGATGCTGGGCCAGAGAGGTGGCTTTCGTGGCTGCACCATCTGGCTGACTGGTCTTTCTGGAGCTGGCAAGACCACAATTTCCTTTGCTCTTGAGGAATACCTGGTTAGTCACGGCATTCCTACCTACAGTTTAGATGGGGATAACATCCGTACTGGGCTCAACAAAAACCTCAGCTTTTCTCCTGAAGATAGAGAGGAAAACATCCGTCGTATTTCAGAAGTGGCCAAACTTTTTGCTGATGGAGGAATTGTATGCATCACGAGTTTCATCAGTCCCTATGCAAAGGTATTTATTTTCTAATTGCTTTTTATTGTTATTATTTTACCTGTATTTATATTCAGGACAAGATTTAGACCAGGGGTAGTCAATGAAGAGGGATGGGGATTTCAGTTTTTTTTACTTTTTCTTGTTTTTTTATTTACAGAACTTGGAGCCCATCATGAGTGTCAAAAAAAAAAAAACTCCTATAAAAATAATCCATGTTTTGTTCGTTTGATTTTGATTAGTTGCATATCAACATCTCTATCAATTATTTAATGCCATAATCTAAATATTTTGAACACAGTTTTATGGATTCAACTACAGATAAAATGTTGGTCATTTTGCTATAAAATGTATTGTTGGTAATTCTACTATAAATATGTGTCATTGGTAATTTTTTTTTTATTTAAAAATGTATTGCTGATATTTTTTACTATAAAATATATTTTTATACTTTCATAGTGTTTAGGAGTTCACTATTTGCCTGTAGGTGGGGCCCTAAACAGGTGCTAACACCCCAGGTCAGGTTGGACCTGAGAACAACAGAAATTAAGAGGTAGTTCCACACTCCTCAAAACCTCCAATCTCCTGATCAAAGGCCTTGCTGCAGGATGTAGTTTATTATCATACCCAGGAATAAATAATCCATGTAAATGTATATGTACTATGGAAAAGAGTGAAGATTTTCAATAATACATGCATATAATTTGGAATGCACTTTTTGAGTCAGACAGTCTTGGAAGGGGGGGTATTTGGACATATGGTGAAAAGGATGCATTAGGCAAAAAAGTTTGAGAACCATTTCTTCAAAGTGAATCACATGCTTGTCTTGTCACATAATACATTGTTATATACACCAAACTTCTGGTTTTACAGAAAATGCTAACAATTTTAATTTTCTTAATTCTTAAAAAGTTAGTCATACTTGTTTATAATTCTTTTATTTTTTTCTTACTGTGACATAGGTGATCATAGCTCTCCACAGGTTCCTTTTCTTTATTGTCTATGAATTGCTATGCATTCTTAAGAAAAGTTAGTACAATGATTTCTTGTTGCTTTCTCCACAGTTTGAAATTCAGAGTTCTCTTAGTTGTGGCCAACTTGGGCTAAAGAGCTTAGTCTAACCTACAATGTAAACCATAGTAAAGAGAAGAGGAGACAGATTCATACCTTTCTCAATGACATTAGTGTGAAAGTGAATACAACCGACTAGCCTGGAATTTGAACACTGTTCACCAATTCCATTTTCCACACCAATAGCTATTAGACTACCAGCCCATCCATTTTTTTTTTACTTGAATTAAATGTTAATTATAGAACAAAATAAAATTTTACTTTTTTGAGAAAGTTTAAAAAAAGATAATTTTATTATAAAAACATAAGTTTATTTTCTATAAGATGCCCAAA